GCACTGGTTGCACTGGGCTAATTGGTTTATAAGAGATTGCTGGGTCACTGATTATGGAGTCTATTGAACTGCATATCTCAGCTTAGGGATACAATTAAAAGTTCACCCTAATTAATCAGGAGTAATTAACAGACCTTGCATTTCTCTGGGATTAATTAATCAAGGAACCCAGAGCAAATTGATGCAGGCAGCGGGACGGTGCCAGGTGTTGCAGGATCCTCTTGTCCTTGGGTGTGAGCGGAGCCGTGGTGCTGGCACCGGCTCCTGCAGGGTATGGACGGTGCCGCCGCGGAGCCATCCCGGTGCTCAGGGGCTGCTCCTACCCACTCCAGCCTCTGACGCCCGCCAGGCTCCCCTGTGGCAGTGCCAGCCGAGCMGCCAGGAGTGGGGACTCCTGCAAGCTGAGCCGAACACAAGGCGACCCTGAAAACATGCTTGAAAAAATGAGCAGCCAGTGGTTGGGTATAAATTCCTCATTTGCAGTTAAATATAATTGGTAGGGCCTGGGAGCTGCGGCGAGCTCTCAGTCGCTGCAGTGCTCGCTCCTGCCCCCGCGGTCCCCACGGAGCGATAATGAGATCTCAGCGCGGCGTGCGGTGGGGCCCGAGCCCGCGCTGTAATGAGGAGCTCCACAGCGCGTGGGAGAGCCCCACAGCCACATCCCCGTGCACCCTGCGCTGCCCTGCCTGTCCCCAGGGACCATCCGCAGCCCGGGGAGGCTCCACAGGAGGTCCTGGGGCCTGCGGGAATCATGGCCCTGGGGAGGGTTTCCTGCAGCAAGGTCCTACCTGCTCCAGGACCCTTCCCTTGGGGCCAGGTCAGCCCATGCATGCAGCAATGCACCGCACAGTGCAGCATGACACGGTGCAGCACAGCACGGTGCAGCACAGCACGGTGCATCACGGAACACCATGGCATGGTGAAGCACGGTGCAGCACAGCATGGTGCAACTTGACATTGCATGGCATGGCATGGTACAGCATAGGGTAGCATGGCACGGTGCAGCATGGCATGATACATGAAGGAGCACCATGGCATGGTGCAGCACAGCACGGTGCAGCCTGGCACTGCATGCCATGGCATGGTGCAACGCGGCACGCATGCCTGGGCACGCTGCAGCGGACTAGGGCCTGTCCTGCTCCCGCTGCCGGGACACTGGGTGACCTGTGACGGGCCCAGCTCTGCCCCACGCCGGCGGTGCCGGAGGCGCCGGTCTCCAGCCCAGCACAGACAGCAGCGCAGGCTGCAGTGAGGGGCGCAGGTGCCCAGCACCGGCCCACTCAGTTATGTTCTTTGCAGCGTCAGTGACAGATATGTGAGGATTAAATGACCGTAATCTCTGTAATCTACTCAGGGAGATTAAACCTCTGCCCACCCCCTCACCTCATCCCCCTCATCCTGGCCCGGGAGCAGTGATTACGGCTGGAGAAGCCATTTAGCTTTTAAGCACCGCTCCATCCTGCTTGGAAATACATTTGAGGATCAGATGAGTCCGGGCGGCACGGCCGGGCCGGCTGCTCCGGCTGGGCGGGAGCCGAGAATTACGGCAAAGTAGCTTGAGCCAGAGTCCAAATTAAATTTATTGTTCCTGACCTTATTTGGAACCCAGCGCCTTTACAACTGATTAATGAGGCTTACGGAGGCTTTAGGCTCAATTTAAGACAACTCCAAAGGTCTCCACCTGCAGGCTGCTGTTTGAGAGGAACTTGTGGGCTCCATTGCCCCTGGGGAGGCCCCGGGCTTGAGCATCCCCCACCCTGCCGGAGCATCAGATGTGCTGGAGGAGCCGGAGCGCCCTGGACACGGAGCGGAGCCATGCCTCCCCTGGGATCACTGCCCGGGACAGCCGCTGCCTGGGGCTCTGTCTGGCCCTGCTGCCGCACCAACCTCGTCCCCTTCCTGCCTCCTCCACGCCGCTTCCCACATGCAAAACATGGGAATGGCCCCTTTTCCAGCTCCAAGTGTCGTAGCCAGACAGGCAGAAGCAGGAGACCCTTCAGAAGAGCAACCTGTGCCGAACGCGTCCCAGCGCGGGCCGGGAGCAGCTCAGAAGAGGCAGCTTGTTGGGCCACATCTGCAGGTGGTTAAAGACACATTAAACATGGGAAAGGGGATTACCGATGCCATTTGGCTTCTGAGGGCTTTTTTAGGCTCTGGAAATAAATTATAGCCTTGATCTCCGCTACCTACAAGCTGATGACATCATCTCCAATCTGATTTGTTATTTCCAGTACACATCTCATCGCTCCTCTTTTATCCTAGGGGTTTGATGTGCACCCAGTGCTGATTTTCCTGCTCTATTTCTGCAATAACCTTACGCAAGCCCTGTGTTCCCGAGCTCTCCCCGCTGCCTGGGCACGGTGCGAGCCCCTCACGTGCCCAGTGTCCCCGGCATGTGCCGACCATGCCTGAGAGCCGGTGATGATGCGGAATGCGGGATTAACAACAAGCTGCCCTGCAGCAAGCGCGTCCCACAGCGGCACCGAGCCCACGAGGCCRCCCGAGCCCGGCAGAGCATCCACCGCTGCCGGCCCAGCCCAAGGTGTCCGGACGCCTCCAGGGCTCCTCTTAAGCAACATRTTCATTGCCAAGGCCACTTCATCACCCAGAGGCAATAAAGGCTAAAAATGGAAAAGACAACTTTTCCATTCTTCCAAACTGCAGCAGTTTGCCATGGAAGGGAACTGAGTGACTAACACGGCTTGTGTCCCCAGAAAGGGATGTAACGGTCCCTTAGCCACCCTGCCTCATGCACCTCGTAGGTCACCCCATGATGTCGTCCACATGAGCATGGCCCTGGAGGGACTCGCCCCATGCTGCAGAGCAGAGCTCTCCTGGGCTATTTGGCTCCTTCAGGAACTGTTTTTCAGTTCCCAGTGCAGTCCTGCAGTCCTGCTCTGCTCTGCTCTGMTCCATAGCCCTGCTCTGATCCCAGCACAGGGAGAGACCACACACAGCAGCATTTTCTAGCAGCCTTTTCCATCTCTGCTCACATATGCCCTGCGTTCCTGGCTTTTGCATAAGAGGAACCTGCTTCGCAGACGGGTCCGGTCGCCAGGGTGTTCACTTCTTCACTTCTGGTGCGCTGGCACTTTTTGCCTGTCTCGCCCTATTAGCATCCTTCTCCTCACGTAACGAGGCAAGTGGTTTTCTGCAGCTGAAAAGCTTTCTGTGCAAGTGTGGAGGCAATAACTGCGGGTCTGAGTGGTGCTGAGTGCAGCCGCTTGGCTTCAGCAGGAGCAAACCAGGCAGAAGCAAAGCCTGCAATGGGCAGTAGCACCCAGAGGAGGGGGCACAGGAGGGGAGGTGAAGCAGCCTGGCATGTGCCCATATTCCACAATGACCCTGTGGCTTTCCCAGATCAACCTGCTTTCTGGGCATCACAACACATACAGGTGAGCCTCAGCATCCCCAAACTGCTGGATATGTTTAATTTTTGCAATTTTTCCCCTTGTTATTCAGAGTGTATTAAAGCATCATCCCTCCACCCTACAGCCTCCCTTTCTGGGCCAACTGAGGACAGACCTTGCAGGGGCTGCACGAGGCGGGGGCCTCTTCTGGTGCTGTGTCCCCTCCCTCAGCAGCTGCCAGGAAGCAGTGGGGACAGGCACACCCTGTCCTGCCACCAGGACGAGGGGTCCAGGACGGACATGCTGCCGGGCGGCCAGCCCCTCAGTTTGCAGCCCGCGTTGCCCATGTTTTGCTGTCCCGAGCTTGGGACCCAGCGCGGATCCAGAGGCACCTGCAGGGCCAGGCACAGGCCAGCAACCGCCTCCAAGCTCCCCACGGCTCTGAGCGGCAACAGCCAGTGGCCAGGACAGGGCTTGTCCTGGAGCCTGGCGGCTGCCGGGCCCCTCTGTCCCAAGCAGGGCCAGGACAGAGCCCGGAGCCCCGGCCGGGCTGCAGGTGCCGCTGACGGCGCTGGGGTCCCGGGGATGCCCCGGGTGGGAGGGCTGCGGCACCAGCCCGAGCCACCCTGGCCCTCCCGCCCCGGGATCCGCTTCGGCCCGGGGACAGCTCTGGTCTCTAGGCAAGACTCGCTCCGGCTGCCAGGACCGCGCTGGCTCCTTGCGAAGTTCYCTCGAGTCCCGGGAGCAGCTCTGGCCCCGGGATCCGCTCCCTGGATCTGCTCCGGCCACGGATAGGGACAGCTCCGGCCGCGGGGACAGCTCCAGTCCCGAGGATCCCCGCGGCCCCGGGCAGGGCTCGCTGTTGTCCCGGGCAGGGCTCTCTCGGGTCCCGGGCAGGGCTCGCTCCGACCCCGGGCAGGGCTCGCTGCGGGCGGCGGGCGCGGCGCAGGCGGCCCGGCCGGGGCGGCTCGCGGGGCTCCGGGAGGAGCTGACGTCAGGCGGCCCCTTAAATAGCAGCGCGGCCGCCGCGGCCCCGCACTTCCCGCG